TTGTGTGGTGTAGAAGATAATTATTTATGTAGAGATACTGCTTGTAAACCAATGATGGTAAGATGATGTCATGGGGTAGGACTGGATAAGTCTGACTTCTTCCTACTCCATTCAAGCATGTACTAGGTATAAGCAAATTGATATTGGATTAGCATTTGTTGGATATGTGTAAAATTATGTGTGTTGATATATCAACTGTCTTTACATGCTTGAAAGAATAAATCAAATCAAATCAAATCAAATCAAATCATCTGTATTTAATTATGGTCATTGCCCACTTCTTTGTATTTATTTTGTGGCTCCTTTTGGTCATTTTAGATTTGTAAAAATTTTTAGTGACTTTGTGTTTTTTAGTGTTTTACTTCTCTTTGTATGGGTTTTTTTTCTTGCATGTCCTTGTGCTCATTCTGCATCTTTTTGTGGTTGATTAACAGTTCATTCATACAGAGGCACTAGTCCAGGGGCCCCCTTTATCCCTTGGGCCCCTAGACCTGTGCCCAATAGGCCCTTTCAGTAATCCATCCATGTGAATATCTTATAAACTGAAATAAAAACAGAAACTGCAGGAGTATTATTGACCATACAGATGAACAGGCCTGTTAAGTGTTTCCTGTGAATTTGCTGAGCAGCTCCCTTTGTCAGTGGATGGCGGCTACTTCACCAAAAGCAAATTAACAAGCAGACAGTAGTACTGAATTTTAAAATGTATCCACAAAGCTGTGGTTGTGCATTCATGCATAGGCAGAAATAAAATGAGATTCTTTACTTAGCATCTGACTAGGCCTGCGTTTTTTGTGGCCCTTGCATCAGTACAATACTAGTACTGAAACCCTGTTGTACAGCTTTAGGTCTCCTGAAGGTCTTTATCTGATTAAAATCAATCCAGTTTTCATTCTGTGTCAATATCATAACTTTTTGCTTGTCTTTATTTTGTACTTTAACACAGTACAAACATTTGCACTGGAATGCAGCACTGGGATTCCATTTACAGTATGTTTCTGAATAAAATGTGAAAAAAGTGATAGGCCATCAGGTGTACTGGGCATTCAGATAAAATGAGATGACCTGCCTATATTTTTTTATTCTTTGCCTTTTCAGTTTTATTTGATCTGAAAGCTTAAAGCTAACACAACAGAAGCATTTAGATTTGCTGTCTCAGCTGTCTAGTTTAGTTGGCTAATGATAAACCCCCAGGTTTTACAGAAATGCTCAAGATGGGAACCCATTCCTCCTTAGTGAAACAATAAATCCAGTATTTCTGCAGAATGTACTGGTGGACATAGCAAAGAAGAAAACGGTGCAGTCATATGTAGCTGTGCATAGTAGCTATTGCTGTTGTTAAAAGGCTAGACGCAGTCTGTGAAAATATTGGATTTAAACTCCCTTGAAAAAGATGTTTTTAACCTGGGCAGACACCTGTGAGCTCAGGAAAGTATCAGTGAAGATGCACATGTACATGCCACGGTCACAAATGGTGCTCTACAGCTACAGTGCTAACATTGCTTCTTTGAGCATTCATTCACTGAATAGCCACAGACAAGAGTCGGCCGCTGATTCAACACTGCACTGCTGCTGTTCAATTTGTAATTCAAACTTTATAATTTGACTTTCTCTTCATCATGCACGCACAGTCTGTGAGGGGCCGTGCGATGCCAAAACTGTTATAAATGGATTAGAAATCTGTCAACTTGCCCTTGATGAGGAATAAATAGATATCTTGATGGTAAGTTAAGTAGACACTAGGCTTTGAAGGTAGTGAAAATTCCCTGCAGCTTTGTTGAAAATATTCAGTAGGCCTACGTTATAGACACTTTTTATTCAAGCCATGAGGACAAAGATATTCAAATATCCAAATATGAAAATGCAAATAAGAAAGTACAGTGTCATCTATCATCTAAAAATCTTTTTTTAAACGCTGCCTTTCTCTCTTTCTAGGATCGAGCTCCCAACCTGAGCGAGCGGCGCACTGCCACCACCACGCTGACTGTGGATGTATTGGACGGTGATGACTTGGGTCCCATGTTTCTACCATGTACGCTAGTGGGAATGACCCGTGACTGTAGCCCGATCACGTATAAAGCTAGTGTACTGGAGATGACAGAGCCAGTAAGTGTACCCCTGTTATGTACACACGTGACATTCTGTAATATATTTGTATGTATGTAATCCAAATATGCGCATTGGTGTATTTCTACAGCACTTTTATTTAGTGCACTCTTGTGACATGATTGTTTTGGCAATGTCTGTCATTTTAAGCTTAGATTAAGTATATGAGCGGCAGTGGCTGGGGTCTGCAGGTTGATGTGTCAGAGAGGCTCTACTGAAAAATGTTTTCTACTGCTCAGAGCAGCTCATTTATAAAGATTAAAAAGAAGAAAGCAACCTGAACTAGTTCACTGTAATGTGGTGAAGTGACGTTCGAGCTCTTTTGAAGTGTGAACTTGCTCAATACTGCTGATATCTGCTTTTTCAAACCATTGTCATCCATTATTGCATCACTCATGTAGTAAAAGGTGAAAATACAGTACACATATTTATTCATCTTGACATTTGAAACCTGTGCCACTGCTAAGCAATAAGAACATGTGCTAAAATCGCCCACTTCTGTTCTATATCTGACCTCTTGCAGAAACAATACGATTTTACAAGCAATTAGTCTGAAACAACAACATTTTAATGAAAAGAAGCTGTTACTAGTCGCATACTGTGGGCTGCAAAGCTATACAATTTGAACAGTTATATAATATAAATGATTGTATTCAAACCATATTTATTTTAGGAAAAAAGTTATACTTTCTGTTAACAATCCAGGAGAGTTGGTGTATTTAATGACCCTGGAGAAAAGGTGTCACTGACATATAATACTGTGAATCTTACATGTGTTCTAAAAGTGAGTCTGCAACACAGTGGTATGTTTTTATGCTTACGTGACTGGCTGTATCGTTTTGCATTGTACCTTGGGCATTTAGCTGATGGTGTTATCCAGAGTGACTTCTGTACAGTACCTCTTTGTAAATGAGACAAAGTTGCTGTAGGCAAAATTCTCAACTCTGACAAGTCAGCAGGCCATTCATCCCTTAACACACACGCACACACACCTGATGGTGACAAGCTAGCAGTGCATTCATGCCTTAACGTTCCCGTCCACACACACTCATATACACACAGACCCGAAACGGTGTCAAGGCAGTAGAGCAGTCATGCCTGACTGGACATTGTCTACTTCATGTCTTTGTTTATACTCTGACCTTTGTCACACGTGCACACACAGACTACTAACACATGCACAGATAATGGTCAGTTTACTTCAAACACACTGAGGGGAACCCTTTCTCTCCCTTCACATGCCTTTCTCTCTCTCGTGTGTCTGTCCTCACTCACAGACATACATCCGTACGTGCTTTTTTCCCCAGCCAAGAGAGACACGGCCAGGAATAACGAGAGTAAATCAACTTTACATCTCACGGTTTTGAGAAGGAGCAAGTATACGCAGACAAGGACGGGGTTTACGATTGAGTGGGTGGCAGGTTGTGGGGGTTGGGTGGTGGCGGGGAGATGTCAAATGGGAAATAAAAAAGAGAGATAAAGGCAGGGTTTTGAATCTGAAAAGATGCATGAACCACGTTCAATCAAAGAGAAATTTTGTTTTTCGCTTGTCAATTTGCTCCCAATACACGGCTGCTGCTGACTCCAGATGCCTCACTGATTTCAGTATTTATGATCTTACTTCACAGCAATAAAAAGGGAGCCATACAGTCAAGCTGGGGTTGTTGTGCTTCTCCTTTGTGGAAACTCAGCTTTTATTGGCTATTGCTGATCTTGCTGATCTCTGTTCACTAGAGGAGCCGGGACCTGTGCATGTGTCAGATTACAGCTCCTACTTAGGAAACCTAACAGACCTCTTCAGATATGTTGACATGTCACAGCAGGAAAAACACAAAATGAATGTTGTTGTCCTTCCGGCAGCTTCACTCAGTGGACTTCTGAAGCTCTGTTAGCATGACCGTTGAGTTCTTGGTCAGCTCCCTGACCAAAGCCCCTTTTGCCTGATTACTCTGTTTGACTGAACAGGTGGTACCAAATGTCTTCATAATTATTGAAGCCACTGTGCTCCTGGGAACACTTGGAGCTTTAGAAATTGTTTTATAGCCTTGCCCTGATCTATGTCTGACCACAGATTTTTCACAGAGGTCTACAGGGAGTTCCTAGGATTTAATGGCTTGGTTTTTGTCCTGACATGCAGTGTGAATTGTGGAAAATGACATATGCAGGTGTTGTGCCTTTCTAAACTAGGTCTAGTCAGATTAATTTGCCACAGGTGCACTCCAGCCACGTTTTGTACACATCACAAGGAATCACAAAACACCTGGCCACAGTCTGCAGTGTCACAGCAAAGGGTCTGAATATTTTTGTGAATGGAAGATGCTCATTTTTAATACATTTGCAAACATTTCTAAAAGCAGTTTTTTTCCTTGACATTATGGCTTATGAAGTGTTGACTCATTTTAATAAATTCAAATTAAATCCACAGCACAAAATGTGCAAATATACTTTCTGAACTCTGTGTTAATAGACCTATTGATGCCGTCAAGGTTATGCCAAATTTATCTTGGAGACTACAAGTTCACAACAGAAACCCTGTGCTGATAAGCCCCCTTATTCATTTTAATGAATAAGGGGGCTGTGTTTTTGACAATATTAGTTAATGTGCAGCAAGGGAGGAGTACTCAGATTCCTTGTTTAAGTAAACGTAGCACCGCAACAGTGTAAAAATACTCTGTTTCAAGTAAAAGCCCTGCATTTACTTGAAAAGGGTTAAGTAAAAAGTAATAGCATCAAACCATACATAAAGTGCTAAAAGTAAAAGTACTCATTAAGCAGAATGGCACATTTAACATTAATGTATATCATATTTTTGACTTATAATACTGATGCATTATTGTGTTCATCACATTATTGTTACAGCTGGTAAAGAGGGAGCTAGTTTTAACAAGCTTCTATACTGCAGCTGGGTGACTTGTGGCTTTTCCACCAGAGATCAACAAAGCCTTATAATTATACTGTAATTTTTGTATTAATCTGGTTCTGAAAAGTAAAGGTGTCAAAGTTATCATGTAGTGGATTAAAAGGTATATTTGCCACCGAAATGTAGTAAAGTCGAAGTATGAAGTAGCACAAAATGAAAACAGATACTGATACCTTAGAATTGTACTTAAGTACAGTACTTGGTGGGTAAAGGTACTTAGTTACCTTCCACTTCTACACTTCAGCACCAGAGGAATAGTATACCAAGTGTGAAATGTACTACAGAAACCCTGAAGCTTTTTTCTTAAATATTCATGTATTTAAACAAAATATTTCAGGTAATATAAATAAAGATGTGTTTATGCCAACAGTATGATCTCTCCCATTAGGTTTGCCTGAATGCATCCTCTTCTCTTCAAAGCAGCTGTCTCTCAGTAGCCCTGTGTGATTGACTCAGACTAGACTTTGAAACCACCCAACACTGGTTCCCTGATAAGCTCTGCTTGAATAAACCCCACCATAGTAAATGTAGTTTACACTCAGAGTTCCTGTTTGTTCCCTTCACACTGTTGTTATTGGAAAAATAGACTAAGCCAGAAGACAATGAATAACAAAAAGCCATGCAGACAAATGATGAGAAGGGTGGAAAGGACAGCAGAGAGCTGCTGTTGCTGCTGGAGTATAAGAAAGACGAGGAGGTGAAGTGAGGAGAGGAATGAACGAGGAGCAGAGTCAAGGCACTGTAATAGTTTGAGCCCTAATCAGGCTGATAAGATATGACAACCTCAGAGCCTTAGAGCCAACATAACTATGCTGTGTGTGTGTCTTTCTCCCTCACACATGCACTCTAAGATGCTGGTCATTTATACCAAGGAGTTGGCTGTCAGGACATGTTGATACACACACTTCAAAAACATTGCTGCCTCTGCAACTCAGAAATTTATAGCTGTATGGGAAAAGCAGATACTGAACACTGCAGTAAACAAGTGTCCCAAGGCCTGACAAATCATTTAGTTTGTCAATAAGTCACACTGGCATTTGATTGTCTACAGTTTGCATAAAGGTGAACAAAGCCAAAGGCTACACCACTTTAGGCCATAACCTTTTGTTGCAGCTTTCAACAGCAGCTTCAGCTTTGCAGCTCTGTAGCATACTGTGTGTTGGAAATAGCCATCTGTTTTTTTTTTTTTATGTGATAGGGAAGTACTGTATCTCTGTTGCGCCATAGATATCGACTTGCGATGCATGGCTTTCTACAAAGCCTCAGCTGACCACCCGATGCCTTCAGGGCCCCCTCCCCCATTGATCTCCTTGCTGCTCTCAGGATCAGCCACCTGTCTCTACAGCTGCTGCTCATTTGCTCATTAGTCCCCAGCAATATATTAAGGCCACCCAACACACACACTCTCACCAGGTGGTGTTGATTGGTTGTTGTAGTGTCTGAATCAGTCTTGACCGCTTAATACAGGTTGCTGGTGCCTTGGATGATGGTTCTGCAGTGTTTGATTCTGCCTGTATGTTTCTGACAGTAAGTCAGTCATTAATTAGGATTAGTTTTATCAACCTCCCTTTGAGTTGTCTGGTTTATGAATCCCTGGGATTGGTAAGTGTGGGTTACTGATCTCACACAGTTTGCCTTCTCCTGCTAGTAACCCCAGTTCCTTAAAGCACTTGTTTATCAAATGTGAATATTTGACACTCTTTGTTTCTGTCTATGCTCAAAAACTTGGTTGTTTTGGGTTTTACCTGTCTGTGGGACTCTGTATATAAACTTTAATGCTGACAGCTGTTTAGATACACCTGGCTAAGACTAATGCAGTCTAATACAACAATGCTGTAATAAAATCTCCCTTCATGAAGGTTTCAGTTTTTGTTGAAGAAATTGTGATTTACAGAAGTTCTATGTGTGGTCAGGTATGTTTCCTTTTCACTGAGGCCTTGTTTGTTTAGTTTTGGCACAAAATAGCCAGGAAACATTTTGAGGAAAACATGTTTTTCTCCTGTCTAAAGAAACAAGTATTGCTATTGGAAAATCGGTGAATATGAGCCAGGGAAAGAACTTCCCAGAGGGTATTATTCAGACTTGATGTTTAGCCAAAGGGCGATGGTCAGTATGGTGTGTGTGTGCTGACTGTGAACAGACCTCAGAGTTTCTTAAGGCTAATTTGTGCAGTGGTTGCCACTACTTTTCATGTGCATATAAATTAAAGAGTACTGTCATTGTGATCCACTTCTGGGTTAATTATTTTCCAAGACTATTTTTCCTTGAGGTGTTAATGCATCTGTATGATTTTGAAAGATGTAGTTGGTGCTGCTGTTGAGTTGAATTTCCATACTGACAGGTGTTTATTTTGTTTATCTCATAGATAAAAATATATATGCAAAATAAAGGAGTCCAATCTGATGACAACAGGGCTGTTGCTTTGTGTAGAGTGTATTAGTTTCAGCTAGGTGTACATAAATGAACACAACTGACTGTATAATGGAAACTGTCAAGGGTATTTTTGATTTTCCAGTTGTCCACATGATTCTTATGACTTTCTTGAGGGAACTTCTTCAAAGTGTCTGCTTGGATTCAAAGATATACTGTTTAAGCTGTGGTGGTCAAAGGTCAGTGACCTCACTTCCGTCCCATACCCGTGAATTTGACTGGTTGGATGAGGTATACAACCACAGAGCAGTAATTCTGGTTCAAAGGATAAGGCTGGTCATTTTCTATAATCAGAACATTTTCAGCAATTTTCATACAGAGACTAAAACCTACAAAGAATTGCTTCTACTCCCCCCCATATCTATCAGTCCTGACACATTTTGTTGTGACGAAACACCATGCCTGACTATGATGTCCCAAAGTCTCCATGCAGCCATAATGTCCTCAACTTGATACGAGTTGTAGTCAACTGCGCATATGCAAGATTTTCTGTGAGCTCTTTGGTTGCACTCCACTAGCTCATCACACTCAGGTCTGATGTTTGTTAATGAAGAAATGTAACTCAGTGCAGCAGTTTTTTTTTTTTGTTTGTTTTGTTTTTTTTGCACAGATGCTGATTGAGCATTGACATTGGCATTGATAGACCTTAATTGTGCATAGAGGCAATTCATTGTTGGTTTAGTCTCTGTATGGGGGCTGCTAAAAATACTTAATATAGAAAATGACTGGCCTTATCCTTTAAAATATTTTAGAATATTTTGACCTAACAATTAATCAAGAAAATATGCAGATAAATTGACAGATAATTGTTAGCAGTTAATTCAAATAAGCCACAGTAGTCATTTTGTACAATACAGTTCTTCCACAGCCAGTGATAACACCACTCATTTGATCAAGATGTTCTTTGAGCCTCCTCTTATTTTAAATAGCCATAAGGTATGCAAACATTATATTAAAGTAATGCATTTACTGCTGGAGTATGCGAAGTAAGAACAAAACTTGTAAGCAAACTTTCATTAAAGCCTAATGAGAACTTTATGACTGAAGTGCAGTGTGTATACTGTATACAGCCCCATTTAAAAGCCAGCTGCTTTTCTCAGAAACTACTCTGCTTGATAAATGCTGAGCCTGGATATTCTGTTGTTTAAGCTTTCTGAAACACTGAGGTCAAACTCTTCATGGGATGGACGATCATGACTTTCATATCACATTTCTGTATTATTATCCCTGTCTTTTCATACCACAGAAGAAATATATTCATTGTAGTATTAGATTCTGTGACCTGCCTGTCTTTGACTTCCCCTTTCTTTGGCGCATTTACCTCTTTCTCTACTCCTTGTTTACCCTCAGCTGTTGGCAGATTAATCTCCCTTTCCACATATTTACACCACATCATTACTCACCATAACTTCGTTTTGCTTGCCTTTCTTTCTCAGTGACAGGCAGCAGAAGATATAGCTCTGTAATGGCTAGTAGGTTTTAAGTGCTGCATGACAGGTGCAATTCTAAAGTGCTGTAGCATAGCAGGTGTATGCGCATACTATAGTGTACAGTGTGTATGTGTGGTGTGTTCACTCCTACATCTGTGCACATTTGGGAATACATGCAGCGTTTGTGCTTGGCTTGATGTTTTATAGCTTCAGCGAGTATAGATTTTTATCCTATAGACATGTTTCTCCCATTAAGGGGTCTTCATATTACACACCTCAGCATAATGCACTATTATAAGTCAACATTATAGCCTGCCCATACTCACACACTGATGTGGATCAACACTTGCAGGCTCAAAGTGTGACTATGTAGTGTATACAGACAATTTATATAGACAATCAGGTACCATATATGAACAATAAAATATCCTTGTTTTTTCCTTAATGTGGCGACTGTTCTTCCTGTGTAGTTTTGCTTCTTTTATGTAGTGAACATACACAATTTTGTGTGAGCATTATGTGTACTTTGTTATTCAGTGTATACTACTGTGTTTTTGCCAACAACTGGTTTTCCTATTCTCAGGTTTAACTGTTTTGCATGTTGTAGCTGTTACATCAATAGCACAGTTAAAGCTTTTCTTTAAGCTATTTTTCCAAACGTGTCAAGCGATCATATACTAGAGCTGGCGACACAAAACAGGTATCAAATGATACGAGACACAACAAATGGCAAGCCATGAACAGTGGCGCCATCTTACCAGGGTGTGGTAAGATGACACCCAAACCAACTTTTATTTTTATGTTTTGCTATGAAGCACTTTGAGCACCCTTGGGTGTTGTAAAGCACTATATAAACAAATTTATTATTATTATTTATTATTATTAAGCGGGTGCTTTAACTAGTAGCTGTATTTGTTACAAATGTCCAGGTAAACTAGGCTGGGTTGAAAGATCTGACATGATTTATAGTATGTTGTGATGTAAAGCTAAATATTTGGTGGACGTTAAGTGTTCTCCAAGTTCAAGTATGCTTATTTTGATTTTTTTTTAATTCTCAAAATGAAATGAGACAATGCAAAGTGATTTTATTACTGTATCATATTTTGCCTAGAGTTCTAATGTGTTTTATACTGTTTTCTCAGATTTCTAGGTTGTAGTTGTGATACTGAACTTTAGTGCTGTCTGTGGTTTTTGTTTCCAGCATGAGGTGAATCCTCTCAATGTGACTCCACCCATACAAGCTGTGGACCAAGACAGGAACATACAACCTCCCTCTGACAGGCCAGGGATTCTATACTCCATCCTCATCGGTATGTTAAAAAGTACATGTAGGCTACCATAATGGATGATTTTTATCCATGTATCCCAAATTCCAGTGGACACAGGGACATGGCACAGTCTCCTCTCATATACCTGGTTTTACTTCATTTGATTAATTTTAGAACCTCAAAGGAAAAATAAAATAATGAAATATGAAATGAAATAATGAAAATAATGAAACTGACCCAAATTGGAAAAACGCTTCACAGACCCAAATCTTGTCTAACTGTTGAAACAGCATTATAAGGCTTTTGAGGAAGGCGATTAAATGTTTAGGTGCAAGATTATCTCAGCCAAGCAATAATGTAAAGTAATTGTTAACAGAGTACTTACTGCCAGTTTTCAAGGATAAGATGTTTCCCGAATTGAATTTTCTGCCTATTAATGCCAAGTTGCAAGTGACTTCCACCACTGTGTTTGAGATTGTAAAATTAAACACTTGCTTTTTACTGCTGAGGATGCACATACTCTGTAAAAAATTACTGATGGGACATGACACAGTCTTTCCCAAACTAATCTGAGTAAGCACTGAGAGCCAGCATCAGAAAAAGAGTCAAAAATAAGTAAATGAATAAATAGCATTTGATGGTCATGTTTATGCTATTGCCACAGCCAGTGCCTACAGTGCTCCAGCACTATTCTCACAATTTTCTGACCTTGAAATTTTGCTTTGGCCATCTGTGGGGTATTTTGGTGCCACGTGCCGAACACATGGTGCACAGGTAGGAAGGCAGCAGGACACATATGTTAATAAAGCTTTAGCCTCTGATCTGAGAAGTGCCATGCTAGAGCGTAGTGCCATTATGCACAGCTGTCTGCTGTATTTACCTTTATTAGATCATGTGCAAGTGACAGACTGCTACAAAGTAATGCAATACTACACACAGACTGCTCCATTATACATTAAGTGGGAGATGTCAGATTGCAGCAGTTTATCAATGCTGTGTCATTGCTTCTTATTTTTAGTAAAAGGATTTCATTTTTCTTGAAATGCATTATGGTGTAAATGCTGTCACCTTTTACAGTTTAACCATTTATTGCATAATATGCAGTAGGAATAAAACTGGAACAAACTGAGTAGGATCGATGTGGCCATAAACACCCCCATGGACATTTTTTTAGGTTTTTATCATTTTTGTACAAGTTGAATAAAATCCACTGGCTGTGGATTTGAGGTACTGTCTGTTCAGATTATACCATGCTACACCATTCAGACAAAAGTTCCTGGAGAAGCCTTTTTGCCATTTGAGTTGTATTCTGGTGTCACACCTGGATGTCTGAGCACAGGGCATGCAGACATGGCTAAGTGTTGTTGCCCTTCCACTGAAAAAAATTAGTATGACTGGGTCATTTGTTGCTGGAGGTGACTGATCCAGAGCTCTGATGTGGGGCAGTACATCATGTTTTGTGCCAGAATACTTTTAATCATCTGTTTCACAGTGGGACTAGTTTTTTCTTTGAAAGCTTCTTTTTTTTATTTCTGTGAACCTAGAGCTGATGTGACTTCTCAAAGCTCTCATTTAGTCCAATCATTATTCTCCCTTGTTAACATACAGTATATATTATCAGTTTGTCTTTTTTTTTCTTGCTTCTCTTTACAAAGGCCTTCCAAACCACTTTTATTCTGAAAGCTATATAGTTTCCACCATTCAAACTATCCTCCTGTTCACTCTGAGCTCAGTTCTTCTCTTGTGGCCACATCCAGGAAGGTTGGCTATGGACCTTACACTTGGTCTTAGTGACACAGGAACGTCACGCTGCTTGGAGCTTATTTTGTAGCTCTGTGTATCCTTGGGATTTTTTTTTTTTTTGGCCCATGTTTAGTGAGATGTGCACAATAAGTACTTTTCTCCATTTAAATAGACTGATCACAAAATTGAAAAGAGTCTGCTTTAAATATTACTAGAAAAGAGGTACCAGTACTTTTGTACAGACATTTCTTTGTAGAATAAACAAGAATTCATCTCATCACAGCTTCTTTGTTTCCCCTCTATGGCAGACCAACAGCCTACAAAGAACATCTAATTTCACTTTTCAGGAAGTACAGAATAGTTTCAGTGAGATGTAAGGATACTGACTGTTTTAGCCATGTCTGTACATTAAGTGGAAGGTAGGCACTCTGACGCCCATAGCATAGGGGGACTCAGTGTCTCCAACTGCACCATTCCCCAGGAGTAGCCAGTCAGATCAGTGCTAGCCATAAAGATGCAACACACACAGTACACACTCGAAATGTGATTGTGCACATGTACCTGTTTTGCTGCTGTTCTCACAAGAACTAGATTTCCCCACTGAGCAATGCAGTATTCGGTATACAGTATGTGTGTATACATCCCCACTTGTGGAGAGCTGCAAAAACTAAGGGCATTAACCTTGTCTCTCTTTAATACTCCCCCTAGACATTCACAAGACAAACATACAATATACTGACTTGTAAAACAATTTACTGATGTCTCTCTCACACATTCCATTGTCTATTTTGGTTTTTCCTCTGGTAATGTTTCTGTTGCCTTCTCTCTCTCTCAGGCAATCCCAAGCCCTATGCAGAATATTTCATCTTGAACAGAAGCACAGCAGAGCTGCTGCTACTAAAGCCCATTTCCAGAGAACTGTACCGCACATTTGATCTGGTTATCAAGGTGAGAATCAGTTGAGCTACGGTGTGGGAAGGTTAACATTTTCTTCCAGCATAGTTCTTACAGGAATATCAAGGTAACCCATCACCTCACTGTACAGTGCTTTCTTTCACTGTCTTTAATCCCAAGTATCCAACAAGCAAATCTGTAAGCTTCAATAAAGATGAAATGTTCTTTCTCGGTTGATCTATTTGAAGTGCCCTGGTTTGTCAATTAAAAGCGGTCTATACTGAATGAGAGTACAATAATTGAAATGCACTACTGTAAAATAACCTCATGCTGTGCAAAGCTTTTTTTCTCAAAATGGTAAATGGACTGGACTAATACAGCACTTTTCTTCCTTACCTGGACAAAGTGCTTCACAAATCAATTCATTCACAGTAGCAAAGCTGCTATACAAGGTGCTGGCCTGGCCACTAGGAGGAACTTGGGGTTCAGTGTCTTGCCCAAGGACACTTCAACACGTGAACTGGGGAGAACGGGAATCAAACCGTCAATGCTGTGATGAAAGGTGAACTGGCTCTACCCCTGAGCCACAGACCAGTAATAGATTTACACCATCAAGTATACTTCAGGGTCTGCATTTATCAAGCATCTCAGAGTAGGAAATCACTCCTAACTGGCAATAAACTCTCAGAATGACAGATTATTGGTCCTACAGTACTTTTAGAAGTATGAGCAATTTATCAACATTCCTCTGTTAGGAAATCACTCAATTGCCACCAAAATGGAGAACTCCAGGGGTGTCCTAACTAGTTGAGGTGGCATTGAGACAGACACAAGCACCCAGACTCCTCTGGAGGAGAGAGGTTTTACTTGCACTAAATGACAGCGAGCTCATTAAAAGTTTGTGGCCAAAAATTGAATAGTTTTTGTGACAGATTTTGTGCAAGATGTAACTGTGCCACCAAAAAGAACAAACATGCTGTTTAGACTGAAACCACAGTCATTACAGATTTATACCTTTTATTTACAAAGCAGATGCTTTGGTAGTGGTGATGTGAGCCTGTCAGACCTGACAGTTCTGGGTGTAGTAAATGAGACCTTGACTGCTCTTACAGCACCACTGATACTGCTCCGATTCATTTATTTCCACACCACTGGATTAAGTGACTAAAAACCATCCACTAATAAGCAAATCACCGGTTTCTTTTGACATGTTGGAGTCATCGATGGCACACATTGAAATCATTGTCCCAAGCACTGATGAGGGCGCTTCTGTGAATCAAAAACATTTTCACTGCATTAATACAAGTGGTGTGAAAATTTGGTGACTAAATGAATCCACACATGACTCAAGTGAAAAGTGGTCTACAACTAAAATTTCTCACTGGTATTAGATCGGCTCGAACACAGGGGTGAGCGAGTCACAAAAATATGACGGACCCAGGTGGCTGACTTCAGTGCAAGCAGTGCTAAGTTTAATTACACTGAAATATAACAAGGAAATGAATAACCAGGTAGAAGTGGGACCGGGTGTCGAGCTGCAGAAGGTGAATAACAGTCAGTGGCTGAATGATGAGGAGAAGACCGGGCTGCGGGCACTGGGACTCTCTCCTGGGCTGGTTGTGGTGGAAAGTACTGAGGAAGAACAGAGTTTGTACATACAGTTAGTAGGAGACTGTGCATCGACCTGCGTGGTGGAGAAGGAGCCGGGTAGAGGAGGTCCGTGGTCCGGAGAAGTGACAGAGGCGAGGAGGAATGAAACAATGGAGCTAAAGACTGGAACAGAGCTAGGGCGACAAAACGTGAAGATACTATACAGTAAAA